AATCCTAAAGTTACAAAAAAAAAAAAAAAAAAAAACCTAAAAGAACCAATAAATATATAAGCACATGAATAAATAAGAAGTTAAACCATGAGGAAATGCCTCCTCCCCATTCCGCTTTCCTCAGGAGAGGTGTACTAGTTGCTGGATGGATCAGCACTCACTGGGGCCCTGAACAAAGGCTTCTGAAACTTTATGAATCTGGAGAGGCAGGGGAAGCCCAAAGGGGAAAGAGCTAGAAAGTGAAAAGCACTGAGTACTGAGACCTACCAGAGAAATGTCTTCAAGCTTTCCTAACAATAAGACCTCCTGGCACTCATATGGCTAGGAGGACCTCTTAGCGAGAACATGGCCTATCAAGGAGGGAAAGGCACAGGCAGGGGTAGAAGGAACAGCACCCAAGTGAGTCAACACGAGCTGCCTATCAGGATCTGGACATGTTTTCTGTGTTGGAGGGAGACATTGGAAAGCAGGGTGGAGTAGTGTCCCAGGTGTTTCACAGCCAGGACTTCTGGGGGCTATGCAGGGCAACCTGTTGGAGTTGAGCAGGGCTTCCCCAGGTGTTCCTCCCCAGGTGTTCCTCCCCAGGCGATCCTGGAAGTGCCCCAAGACATGTGGATGCTGCTGTTGCTGCTGTTGCTTTTGCTTCTGTCTTGGCTGCTGTGTTCTGTCTTCAGGGCAGTGGGTTGCTGGCAGGGTACTCCAGAGTTTTGCAGTAACAGACCCTGCACTGTGACACTCTTGCTTACAGGGAGATTACCTCTGCAGGGGATCTAAATAAAATTCTAGGGTCATTTTCAGGCTTCTGGGCAAAGTGATCTTAAAGGGGTTCCACATGCTTTCTGCCCCACTCTGAAGTTTCGATAACTATTGCTCTGGGACCTGAGCAGAATCTTCTGGCCATTCCCATTAGCAGATGGATCCAAGATGTGGTGGGGGCACCATTTCCCCATCTGTCTCCAAATCCCTCTGTGTTGAAGCTCCCCTCTTTCCCCAGTGACTCCTGCCTCCTGATGTTCCTGCCTCTGTGCATTCCCTCCCCACCCCAAGGGTGGACAGAACTACTGAATTCCTCATAACTAACAGTATGTGGCCAAGATGAAGAGATGCCAGCACTGTGACTGTGCCCTATGATCTAACACCGTCTTACTGAAGCAGTAGCTCCCTTTCTCCTACTGTCCTTCAAGAAGCAGTCGCCATCATGTGAACTACCCATGGAGAAGTGCATGGACCAGGAAATTTGGACAGTCTTCAGAAGCTGAGGACCTCTGTTCTACAAGTGCAAGGCACTGTATTCTACCACTAACCTGAGTTATCTTGGAACCAGACCCTTTTCTCCTTTAACCTCCCAGTGGACACCTTCACTACACACTGCTGAGGTTCTGAAAGACAGAACCCTTCTAAACTGCTGCCAACACTTATGAGAGACAGACTCTGTGAGCTAACCGAAGCCTTCTATGTCCTTCAGTTTGGGGTAGCCTTTTATACAGCAATAGAAAACTAATATAGCCTTTCTCTACCATATTGAGTGATATTGAAGATATTATTACAATTATAAAATCAGATTATATGGCTATGAATATGATAAGAAAAAAGATATTTTACAGTGATGTAATATTTATAATTTGGTAACACATATTAAGGGCTGTGACTATTTACACAAATTATTCTATTTCATTAAACAAAGTTAATAACCTTAAATCATGAAAAAAACTAAAAGTAAATACTCATTTTTAAAAATATTTATTTCAAATCAGAGAAACCAAGAAAAAATAATAGGTACAACTCTGTGTCAATGCTTATTTGCCAAGAAATAGCAGAAGTTATTACAAATATTCTATTATTTAATTCTCACAATATCATTTCAAGTAAGTTTTGTTGTGTTTATTTATGTTTATACTTATATATGTTCATACTTATATTTATGTATATATTTCAAAAGAAATTGAACCTCAGAGAAATTAGTTAATTTGATAAGGGCCACTATGTGGTGATATCCTCATGCACAATTTTGTTTTCCAAGTGCAAGCATTCAACAATCCAATTACAATGTTTAACCTCTACACTAAAAATATTTTCTTATTTTCAGCAGTAGCATGCTGGGCATGAAGTGGTTCGGCAAATTATCCATCATCGTGACCCTCTCCTGCCTCATTTATGGCTGCACGGATTCAGAATATCAAATTATATTTCTTGGTCTCCAGGGTTTATCTTAAGATGCCTCAGGCTCCTGCTGCAGCTCAGCACTTCCTGGGCTGCCCCTTCTTCCCCCAGCACCTTCAGAATCAGGCTGCTGCCTCTTCCATGGTAGTTGGTGCAGAGAAATGAGCACTGATGTTGGAGTAACATGGACCTAAAACTAATCTGCCTCTCCTGCTCCTTAGCATTAGGAGCATAAGGAGGAACTCTGTTTACAAATTCCTTTAACTTTTTTTTATATAAATGTGTCCTTCTTCTGGTGCTTTTAACAGAGTAACTGGCAAAGTGTTTATGTATTTACATTTAATTATATTCGCTATTATATGTATATATAAGTATGTGTGCACAAATGAATTTGTGTGACTATTGCCAAACATAATGTGGAAAGACACAATCCCAAATGTCATAATCTCAAACACCATAATCCTCAAAGGGGAAATCCTAAAGGATGAAAATCTCTGAAGTCTAAAATCCTGCAATCACAATCTCAAAAGATTAAAACCCTGAAAGTGGAATCCTGGAAGCTGAAATTCTGAAAGCTGCAATTCCCTCTGTGAGCAGGGGGGAGGCTATACAAGAGGAAGGGAAAAATCAAACTGTGGGGAAAGACTTAGTGTTTGGGTTGTAGGCAGGATTCTTGCGTCATTTTAGTTGAATGAAGGTTAGTGTATGTTAGGTTCTTTGTGGGTGGGGGGGGTGCTCAAATGCAGGCGGATATTAACAAGAAAATAGACAGGAGTACCTGGGGGTAGTTAAGGGCTTAGGGGGTAGTAAAGTAGTATTCATCTATTTGCATTTAAAACCCAGAAACCTGATAAAGCATTATTTTTGAGTCTGTGAGGGTTTCTAGAGACATGAGTGTATAACTATGAGTGGCCTAGATGGTTGAGGTCCATTGTGGCTGGCACCATCCAATCTGCGTTGGCAGGAAAAAATAACTATAGAAGGTCGACCAGGACCTGTCTATATTTCATCTTCCCATCACTGTTAAACTTGTCCAACTGCTGTACATATGCCTGAATGTTCATGCTTACAAAAATATGTATGAGATCCTTGCATATCTTAATATGTGAAGAGGTTATGAAGTGTTCTGTTTCTCAAATAATCTCCTTTTAAAAATGTACACAGATGACTTATAAAGAATTTTTAAATATTTTCCAGAATATGTTTTTGGGATTTTGATTTTTCAGGATATTAGACTTTGGGGATTTGATCTTCTGAGAGTTTAATATTTGGAATTGTGTCTTTAGGGACTTTGCCCAAAACTATGCACAAGTGTATATGAATTCATCAATCCTGAGCCAGGTAGTATTCATCCAGCATGGCTGTTTTATTCCTCCTTATTTCTATACCTCTTTATGTGAATTCCAGCAGTGACACAAATGGCCCTGATTTACATTATATACACAATGGTTATTTTTATTTATTAATTTAACTGCTCTGGGAGTACCCAGATTAAATATCCTTTTTGGGTATGTCTCTAATTGTTTCTCATTCACATTTGAACCACAGAACTAGAAATTACTCTTATAATTATATATCTGAATATCTATTTAACTGTCACTCTTATATGCATGACTTTGTAGTCAATATGAGAAAATGGGGGAAATAGAGAAATTCTCTTCCTGACTTTATGAAATTTAGAGTTGAGGGGTACAGTGTGGAGAGGGGGATGGATTTACTAATGATGGTCTTGAGTAATAGCAGCTGCTCACAGCAGTTCTTATCATTACCCTTTCCTCACATATTTTCATTTCCTAATTCAGAGGGTACTGACTAAATCTTCACCTCTGCTTCCAGTGAGGAGCCCTAGAAAGCTATGAATGGTCTATGGGCCACAGCCCAGCCTTCTGGACCAGTTCCATAGAGACTAGCAGTGGAGAATTAGGCCTGGCCCTTCTCAAGCATGAAATACATAATTTGGAGAAGACAACAGGGGCACATGTGCAGTTCTTTGAGGCTTCATAGTTTATCTGTTGTAAGTGTAAAATATTGTAATATTTCTGCATGGCTTTCCAGATCAATTTGTAGCATCAAACCCTCTGAGTTTGGAACTCTTAATGGTGTGGCAGCTGCAATGATCTGTGGCTTCATGGTTTACTGGTCTTGTAAAACCCCCAAGCCCAGACTCAAGGAATTATGTTGGTATTCTAAATATCCTTAACTATGTATACCCTTCTCTATGAGCCACATCAGCTGGCTGAAAGCACAACCCAGCTAAGGTATCAGGAACAAGAGGAGCACATGGGAAGAATTTCCATTAGGAGCACCTTTTCTAACTTTCAGTACTATGTTGGGTTAACATGAATTATGTTGGAAGTGACAGGATAACAAGATCCTGTAAAGGGGAAAGGGACCAGAGAAGGGGGAAGAGACAAGAGGGTAAAAGAAGACAGTAGGGTGAGTGGACATGAATAAATCAATATATGCACATCTGGAAATGTCACAATCAAACCCATAATTTATATAATTGACATGCACTCATAATTTTGAAAAATCTGGGAAATAAAATACTCAACAGTAGAGCAAAAGATACTCAGAGGGCAACATACTAGGTAACAGCCAACATATTTCAGAGCTACAGTAATTCGAACTGTGGCCAGGCAATAGATAGCAAGTTGAACGGGTAAGGGGTGGGGGGCGTGCCCCTTCGTTTTACCACCCCTCCTCCTGGGGAAGGCAGGGCTGCACAGGGGCCCACTAATTGGGGTGTGGAGGGGGACCAAGAGGCTTACGTGAAGGCAGCACATTGGCCCAATTTCTCTTCCCCGCCCTCAAGAACTTAACTTTCGTTTCTCTGGTGGTGCACTAAGCTCAGGGGGAACGCCCTGGTGGAGGCAGGTTTGGAGAAGGAATCTTGCCCACATCTGCCCGGTCCCGCGGACTCCACTTCGCTTGAGTTTCTGAGGAGTTACTGAGCCAATTTGCGGAGAGCAGAGTTCGCAAGACTTTAGAAGAAAACCCGGATTCTCTTGGGTGAGTTTGACTTCTTGCCAGGAAGCTGTTCTGAAGGCCCGCTGGCCCAGCTCGGGGATTCCCTGCTGAGAGCAGCCTGGGGGAGGGGTGCTGTGAAAGAAGATGGGAGTAAAGGGATGAAAGGCATTCGCTTCCTGGAGGGACCTTAATTGTCCACGCTGAACCTAACCCTGTCTCCTTCCTGGTCCGGAATTTTGAATTGCACCTTGGTGAAGGGTGCCAGAGGCCTTTTTTCCTTGGATAGATGTTCCCTCCCCAACAACTGTGGCAGAGCTGGAGAGATCTTTAAAACTGAAAGCATAATGCCCGTCAGGGTAATAATGTGATCTACAGCTACAGATCCATTCCCATCACCTTGGCCTGCGTTCAGAATCCCTGATGCCTCTTATCTACTCGCCGGGCCTATTTCACAGCCCCCACCCAGACACGGAATTACTGCAGTTCCTTAAAAACAAAGAAAGTCCAGGGTTGTATATTTTCTCACATGTTGACTCTAAGGAGAACGAAAAGGATCTCCTGAAAAGAGAAGAGAGAACTGTAGGGTAAAAGTAGGGGAGAGTGGGAGGAGGGAGAGAGAAGGGGCTACTTGGGATGGACTGTAATGAAGTTTGTTACATGCATGCATAAATATGTCACATGAAACTCATTGTTCTCTATGTAATTAAACAATAAAAAGAAGTCACCACCCTTGCTCTTCCTTCCCCTTGAGCCATATCTGCCAAAAGCAGAACTCAGCTAAGAGTCAAGAACTGGTGAACGACATGTGAAATTACAAAAATGTCATCTTTTTTTTTTTTTTTTAATACCAGGGATTGAATCCAGGAGTGCTTAACCACTGACTGAGCCACACATTGCCATTCCCTTTCTTAAAAAAAAAAAAAAATTATATATATATATATATATATAATTTTTTTTTTGAGACAGAGTCTCATTAATTTGCTTAGGTTTACTTTGAACATGTGATCTTCCTTTCTTTGCCTCCATAGTCAATGGAATTAATGCCACCTATATACGAGACGAGTTCTCCATTGCATGTTGAAGTTTGAACACTAGAGAAGCATGCAGAAGCAAGCATATAAGGCAGGGTTTTATTTAAAAAGGGGTAACATAGACTTCCCACAGGAAGAAGAAGGGAGCCATAGCTTGTATCCTGGTATCCCCAGAAACAAGGTGTTCTGCCTTTTTATATGTCCTAGGCTTCCTTTGTTCTGCTCTCTTCCCCTTATCTCTCTCCTTCCTGCTTACTTGACTAGGCCCAGGAATGCTCAGTGGGATGGCCAAAAGGTGGGAAATAGGTGGGTTGAAGGGGGAAGGGCAGGATTGAGCAGCCCACAGCACATTAATTAACAAGCTTATAGCTGTCTGTGGGGTGGGACAATTCCTGGGACAGGTTACCTTAGCAACTGGTTGGAGCAAGGGCAGGTTCTTGATGAGAGTACCAGAAGGGCTCTGAAGGAATTAACATTTCAATCCCTCAGGGGACAGACTCCAACTTCCAGGACTCAAAATTGGCCTCCTTAATGGATGGCATTAGAGCAGATTATGCTAAGTGAAGCTAGCCAATCCCTAAAAAACAAATGCCAAATGTCTTCTTTGATATAAGGAGAGCAACTAAGAACAGAGCAGGGAGGAAGAGCAGGAGGAAAAGATTAACATTAAACAGAGACATGAGGTGGGAGGGAAAGGGAGAGAGAAGGGAAATTGCATGGAAATGGAAGGAGACCTTCATTGTTATACAAAATTACATATAAGAGGTTGTGAGGGGAAAGGGGAAAAAAAAAACAAGGGAGAGAATTGAATTACAGCAGATGGGGTAGAGAGAGAAGATGGGAGGGGAGGGGAGGGGGGATAGTAGGGGATAGGAAAGGTAGCAGAATACAACAGTCACTAATATGGCAGTATATAAAAATGTGGATGTGTAACCGATGTGATTCTGCAATCTGTATTTGGGGTAAAAATGGGAGTTCATAACCCACTTGAATCAAATGTATGAAAGATGATGTCAAGAGCTTTGTAATGTTTTGAACAACCAATTAAAAAAAAATGGCCTCCTTTATGGGACCTGACTCGATTTACCTATCTATACTGACTGCCTGTCTAATTCTGGCTTCAGAATTACAGGCATGTGTCAGAAGTGAGTGGAACGCACTAGTCTTCTGAACCTACATGTTGCACATCTGTCGTGCCATATATCACAGTATTTTGGAATTGACTTATTATTTTTCAGTTTAAGGCCTCAACTGATACTAGATGACAGTGTTTAGCAAATGAAGTATATTTCAATTTTATTTTTTAGCCTTTTTAGAGAAAGTAATCCTTTCTACATAACATCAGTACTTCCATCATGCCAAGAGAAACAGTTTACCTCAATCACAAAAGAAGAAAGTTCTGTTTATGTTGCTTAGCTTTTTACAAACCTAGTTTGTCCTCTGGGTTCATTCAGGTTGTGCCAAATGACAGGACTCCTCTTCTGAGGCTGAATTATGTATCATTAATAGATGATGGATGGATGGACAAACAGACATAAAAATTTCTTTATCCATTCGTCAACCAGTGGACAATTTAATTGTTTCCAAGTCTTGACTATGGTGAATAATGCCACAGTGAACATGGGAGTACAGATATCTTTATAAGAACATGATTTCATCCCTTTTGGACATGTACCCAGGAAGAAGACTTACCAGGCCACTTGGTAGTTCTGTTTTTCATTTTGTTGGGGTCTCCATATTGTCACATGACTACATTCTCACAAATAGTATGCAGTGGTTCCCTTTTCTTCATGGCCTTGCCAATACTTTTTATTTGTCATCTTGTTTATAAAAGCCATCTTACCTGGTATAAGGTAATGTCTAGTATAGTTTTGAATTGCATGTCCCTGATGATTAGTGATGTCTGGTACCTTTTAAGATATGCCTCTTAGCCAATTTTTATGTCTTCTTTGCAGAAATATCCATCAGTTTCTTTATCCATATTTAAAATCAGGTTTTTCTGTTCCTGACTTGTATGAGTTCTTCGTGTATTTTTTATATCAACCAGTTATTTGATCTGTGCCTTACAGATATTTTTTCCCAATCAGAAGACATTTTTATTTTGTTGATTGTTTCCTTTGCTGTACAGAACCTTTTCTGTATGATTATTTTTTGATTTTGTAATCTGAGCTCCATGCCTCCCTCTGGTGCTGGGAATCCAACCCAGAACATCACCCTGTAGCCTAGATTTAAAAAAAAAAAAAATCATATAATATATAATTATAATTTTATAATTATAATTATAATTCATAGTGGTGTTCATTTGACATAATCATATGTGCATGGAATACATTTTGTTCCATTTCAGTCCCCACTACTTCCCCTTTCACTCTCCTCCCTTCTGTTCCTCTTCCTCTTCTCTACTGTTCTTCTTTCTGCAGGTGAAAGTCACTGTAGTATATTCCTTCATGTATATAGAACCATTTGTCAATTTCATTCCATGATTCCTCCCATTTCCTGTGCTCTTCCCTCCCCCTATCTTCTCTTCCTTTACTCCACTGATGTCTCTTCTCTTTTCCTGGAATGCTCCCCACCTTTTCCCCTTTATTTTGGTCTAGCTTCTGCATGTGAGAGAAAATGTTCAATCCTTGACTTTGTGAGTTCAGGTGCCTATCAACAGATGAATGGATGAAGAAAATGTGGCATATATACACAAGGGTGTTTTATTCAGCCATATAGGAAAATGAAATTATGGCATTTATTGGTAAATGGATAGAACTAGAGTACATTATGCTAAGTATAGCCTGGATTTTTATTATGATCCAAACTATTATTGCCAAGGCCAATGTCAGAGAGCTTTTCCTCTGTTTTCTTTTTAATAGTTTCATTCCTTACATTTAGATCTTTTATTGGCTTTAAGTTGATTTTTTTCTAGAGTTTAAGATAAGCGTCAACTTTCCTTCTTTTGCATTTGGAAATTCTTTTTCCCAGTACCGTTTATTAAAGAAACTGTCTTTTCCTTATTGTTTTTTTCTTGGTTCCACTGTCAAAAAATTATTTGACTATATACGTTTGGATTTATTTCTGGGCTCTCTACTTTGTCTCATTCATCTGTGTGTACGTTTTTATGTCAGTTGTACTGTTTTCAGTAATTTTGCTTTGTAACATACTTTGAAATTTCTCAGGGTTGACCTTTTGAAGTTTTATTTGTCATTTCCAATGAATGTTAGGCTTGTTGTTTCTATTTCTGTGACTGATACCATTGAGATTTTTATAAGGGTTACCTTGAATTTGTGTATTGCTTTAGACAGTATGGACTTTTTTAAGAATGTTAATTCTTGCAATCATTGAATACATTTTTATGTTGATTTGTGCCCTTTTCAATTACTTTCAATAGGTTAGCTTTTATTGTGCAAATATCCCATGTCTTTAGTTATATTTATTCCTATTTTTATTTTTTATGCTTTTGAATGAGGATAGAATAAAATAGATCAGTAAAATGTCCAGGCAGTCAAGAAAATGGGCCCCCTTCAACCACACCTGGAGGCTAAGGGGTACAACAGTGTACATATGAATGCACATGTTAAGGCCTATTTCAAATGTAAAAGACCTGAAGGCTCACCTGTGAGTACACCTACAACCAACTTCTTTGTCCCAGAGGTAGAAAATGGAAAGTGGAGGTGAACCAAATGGAAGTTACAGGAAGGAGGATGGATTACAGTAAGAAGGATTGAAGTGAACCTTGGATGGTAGCCAGCATGCCTTTTTCCATACCCAGTTTACATAGATTTGCTCCATGCTCTGCCCTAGAACCATATATAAACTCCGAAGATAGCACAAAGTGGGATTGTATTTCTTCTCGCTTAAATAAATCCTGTTCCATTTACTTCCCTTCTGTGATTATCTGTGGATTTTATTCTGCAAAACTTGGGAATTTGGTAAAGTGGAAAATCTAGTCTCATCCTCCAACTCTGGTTTCACTTTCATAAATGGAATGATTTCTTAATTAATTTTCAATACTAGGAATGGAAA